ACTAGGGTGAGTTGGAAGACTGTAATGCTGGGAATATGACGAGGAGGAGGTTGAGGTAGATCAATCACTCTCACTTCTGGTTGAAGATGCAAAAGCTTCAGCCTTGTCTATGCTACTGATATGCTGGGTCCTCATCTTTGAGGATGAGGATATTTGTGGAGCCTTCTTCTCCTGTTGTTTAATTGTCCACCATCATCTATGACTGGATGTAGCAGGACTGCAGAATTTAGATCTGATCAGTTGGTTGGAATCACTGTGCAATCCGTTAGCCCTATCTATGCAATTGGCTTCCACTACATGTCATTGCAAGTGGTCTTGTCATGTAGATTCACTAGGTTGACACCTCATATGGCGCTGTTCCTGGCATACACACCTGCACTGTTCATTGAACCAGGGTTGATTTCCTGGCTTAATGATAATGATAGTGTGGGATGAACTGGGCATAAGAGATTTGTTACAGACAGTGATTGAATACAATTGTGCTGATGGCCTACAGTCTGTTACGAATGCCCAGTTTTGAGATGATGTTCGAAGTCTATCCCGTTTGCTGGGTTCCTTGATGTCACACTCTGCTAAATGTTGATATCAAAAGCAGTGACCCTCACCTTATCTCTGAAGCTTAGGTCTTTTGTTCATATATGGGCTAAGGCCATAATGAGGTCAGGGGCTGAAATGACCCTGGCAAAACACAAATTGAGGGCCAGTGAGGTTTTTGTTTTGCAAATGCTGTTTGACAGCACTGTCAACAACTGAAGTAGTCCATGTTCAAATGCAACGGGTCCTGGACAACATCCAGGCTTAGGCTGACAAATGGCAAGTAATATTCACACTACACAAATGCCAGGCTATGACCATCACTAATAAGAGACAATCTAACCACCATCTCTTGACATTCATTGGTGTTACCATCACAGAATCCTACATTATCAACATCCTGGGGGTTATCATTGACCATAAACTCAACTGGACTCACCATATAAACACACTGCCTACAAGAGACCTTGTCACCTGAGACCCAAAGACTGTTTCCATCTACAAGGCACAAGTCAGGAGTGTGATGGAAAACTCCTCAATTGTCTGAATGTGTATAGTTCCAGTAAGTCAAAATTTTTACACCATCCAGGACAAAGCAGCTCACTTCACTGAAAACCACCTCCTCGGTATTCACTCCCTCCACCATTGATGGACATTAGCAGCAGTGTATATCAAGATGCACTGCAGGAAGAAAAAAGCATTAAGGGAACTAGGGACTGGCAATAAATGCTGGCCAGCCAGTGATGTCCACATCCTACAAATGAATACATGAAACAAAAAAAAATTAGAATGGAGTATCCTCAAGGTCACTTCTGCTGATACCATCAAGAACAGATAAATCTACCACAGAGAGATTAGTGAGGATGAGATCAAGTACATTTTTTCCTCTTGTTGTTTCCTCCACACTTTACCGCAGATCCAGTATAACATACGTGT